TTAACGGCCCACTGGTTTTGAAAAACCCAACCTGCAATTTCATTCTTAAGAAACATAAAACCAATCAGAAATTACTTGTAGATTGTGGGAAAATGATACCGAAAATGGCAAATTGTTGGCCTTTCTTGGAACAACTAATAATAATAACAAATAATCTATGTCAAAATAGGTTATAAGCATTATATAATATTGGCCAAGCGGACTACGAAAAATAGTGAATTATATAATATGTAATTTAAAATAATTCTTGGCAGAGGAGTTCTTGTGGTGGGGTCGATTTACATTGGACTCATATGTCACATCGACAAAGAAAATTAAAATAAATACAATTAATCATTAACTAAACATTACAATTAATCATTTAACGTTTAATAATTTCAATTAATTACTAACAAACATTATAAACCATAATTTTTTCTTTAATATAAATTATAAATTATTAAGGTCAGCAATTTAGATTAAAAAATATTTAATATATTCAACAATTAAATTTTGATATCATTAGTTGGATAATGCTAAATGGATCTTATTTAATTTAGCAAAGTTTAAATACAGAAGCCGAATTTTCCATAAGGTAGTGCCTTTTATTGCAAAATTATTTTGCAAGTTGTTCCATTTGGATAAAGCAGATCTCTGATTTTTAATAACCATCTTAACCCAATGCCAATTCAATTCCTGTGTGTATTTGTCCTTAACTAGTTAAAACGTATTAAAATTATATTGACATAGTTCCTTATAGAACAAAGAACACGATGTAGATCTGATTGGTTTATGAATTTCTTCACCGAACTTGACACTTAGTTTTCTTATTATTTCCTTAAACAACGAAGGCCACTCATTCACCGCATTTGCAGACAACAATGAGTTACATGAAAGATCTCTACAAACTCTAAAACATACCTTTTTCCAATATGAAATTATGGCGTACTCTTGAACTAGGTGTTCTTTTGATCGATTTTGCAGGCATTGATACAAAATTACTATCCAGCAGAAGGTATTTTTAACAGCATGGCTTTTAAGCACCACCGTGCTTTCCGTTTTCCACAAATGGTCGTCCTGGGTTTTTTCTTACTTTATTTTTGTAACATTCTTCTAGCATAAACTGAAATCTTTAATGTACTCTTTAAAAGAAACTCGTGTATCCATGGGTCCCGGGTATTTTGGTCCAAGATTCTCTGACTTGTCTATTCTCTATTGTTCTAGCTTCCTCTGCCCCACGGGTTGTCCCTTCCTAGAAAGGGGGAATTTTTCTCCCCTTCTCTATATTTATTGTTTCCTAAATAGGATTAGAAGTTGCGATTACAATAGACGTGGAATATGGAATTTAAAATTATTGTGTTCGCCTACTGAGATAAACTATAACGCAAATTGTCCTTAAATTGAAAACTATTTTGTTTTTTCTACAGATATTGTTAAAATTGTTTTAAAATAAAATCTATCCATTAAGAAAACCCAAAGAAATGAATGATTTTATTTCCATGATTTTACTTAAAATTAATTATCAATTCGCCACAATTTTAAATGAAAATAACCTCAAATTATGAAGCTTATAGCTTAATAAAATAGCAAAATCTTTCTCGTACATCCCAACTAAGGCTGCATCAGGTGGTGGAGCATGTTATAAAATCGATAACTTTTCAGACAGTGAAAGCGTAAAAGCTGAGCTGTAAGTAATAAAATTCCTTCCACGATTTCTCGCTGTTACTCTTTCACCTTTACGACTTCATCAATGAAAGACAAACCCTGATGGCGTAAAGCTTGGTCGCGGCTGAGTGGAAAACATCGTGATTAGTTGGTCAGGAAAGGTGAGCTTCCAGAATCATGGTGGGATTAAGCCCCTAGAAATTGGGATTAGATTTACTTGAATGAATTTTTGTCAATCATGGCCAATTGTATTTTTTGAATGAAAATAGTTAAGAATATCAAGTAGGTTCTTACCTAATTTGGCCGAGTGCAAATAAAATTGAATAGACAAATGTTTTGGTTCATACTAAAAGTTAAATTGTTCCAATTTAAAAAGTTATGTAAAGTATAATTTAAAAATAATTGATAGAAAAAGAGACTTTTCCCTTCATTTGCCATGGAGAAAAATGATCTTAGAAAGTCATCCTTTGCCATTTGAAATTCCGAACTTCCATGACTAGCCACGTTTTTGAGCGATGAACTCCTCGGTCCGTTTTCTCCAGTCCATTTGGGAATCGAGTCAAATTTACTCGTTAATACATAATTGTTGAGCCCATGAGTGAAAGTTTGAAAGGGCAATATCAGGCGAATACGGTGGGTAGAGTAGCTCATCCCGTACAAGCTCCAACAATTTCTGACGCGTCTGTAAATAAATTTGGGGGCCAGCTTTATCCTAGTGGAAAACAATTACGATTAGCCAATGCCGGTCATTTTAGTTTCTAACTGTCTCCAATTCTGTGCAGTATATAAACTAGAATTAATGGTTTGGTTGGGCGAAAGAAGCTTACAAGAAACCAACCCTTTACAATCCCACGGGATGTAATACGGTTTTCCGAGTTGTCAACGGTGGGTCGCTGCGTTTTTTCCCAAGAGTTTCCTGTATAGTAATTGTAGCGAAGGACACACTTTTCATCCCCAGTTAACCGTTAAGTTAAAAATGAATAGTTTACATTGCGTTTTAAGATAGGAATCGCAGATGAAAGTGCGGTCGTATAAATAAATTTTTCTGAGTAAACATGCATGGAACATCGCTCCGAAAAGTATATCCAGTTGCTCTCAAGTGCGTTGAAATGCTAATATGAGATATGTTAAATGTCACTGCTGTCTAGTGTCATTGAGTACGAATTATTTTAGATAATTTCTTCATCATCAACGGTTAAAGGATGACATGAGCGCTCTGCCTCATCCAAATCGGATGAAAAGAAATATCAGGCCGTAAAATAAGACTCTAGCGTTTTTAATTAATTGAAAACTGTAGAAACATGAAAACAAATTTATTCAACAATATATGAACTATGTCGCTCTACTTATTGCCATCTTTCATGGAATTTTGTCATTCCGTCCTCCCGAACTTCTCAGTATTTTGAGCTATGATCTCCTTGGTGTGTTTTATGCAGTCCTCAAGTGAATTAGAATTTTGATCACGATTACAATTTTTCAGAGCTCGGAATAAGTAAAACTCTGATAGGGCAATATCAGGCAAATACGGTGGATGGGGTAGCACATCCCAGTCAAGCTCCAAGAATTTTGGTTCATCTGTAAAGACATTACGACATTCTGTTGGAAAACTATTGCGATTAGCAAATGCCTGATTGTAATTGTTCAATTGCTGACTCTCCAATTCTGAGCAGTAACATTAGATTTAACTGTAGGTTGTGAGGAAGAAGGTTGCATAATAAAACAACCCCTTTACCAAATACCACAACCTTACATTCTTGGGAAATAATAGGGATTTTGGATTATATAATGGCTGATCGCAGAGTATTTCCCAGGATTTCTGTATGAAAATTGTTGAAAAAGATCATGTGCAATTTTGAATACCGTTTATTACATTTTTAAAAATGAGTCGTTTAAATTAAAGCACTTCTAGTCTTCTAAATAAAACTTTCAGCTTCTGAACCAAAAAAACTCATAAAGCATTCTCCTAAAGCATCATGATCATACACAGCATACCTTTCCCTAGCAATCTGAGCTTTGGGGTAAGAAAAAACCCGTTAATAATGTCGAAAATGTACCCTTCTCCCTACATTTTAAATGAGCAAAACTTGTAAAAGTACGAGATCTCGAGCGAAACTGACGAATACAAACACCTCAAACTAATCCCAACTGAGAGTGTGAAAATAATAATGACTAAATAAACATATTTTCAAAAATCAAGATGATAAAATCGAATAATTGACGCTTGTAGGCTTATTTTACAACACAATAACACGACTTTTTTAATTATTAGTGTTGTTGTACAGAATATCGACTTTTTTTTTAAATTTGTAATTTGAAAATAATAAAAATCTACAAAACCAGCGAGTTTTACAGGCAGGCCAGCTGAACGAAAACAACAAAGATTATTTGGAGAGTGAAATGAGGTCTTTTGTGATGTAGGTTTAGAAAAACATTTTCTTTATTGCGCCAACGTTTCGATCTTTATTTAGATCTTCTTCAGGGCTTGGGATTTACAGACATTGTTTGGATTATACAAATATATTTAAGATGTGAAAATGAATTTATACAATGATGTACTCAATATAGAAATTTTAGGTTTATTCAAAGTGTTTCTACTAACTAAGTGCGTCTCAATGTCTGTAAATCCCAGACCCTGAAGATAATCTAAAGATCGAAACGTTGGCACTATAAAGAAAATGTTTTTGTAAACCGACAACACAAAAGACCGCATCTCATGATCTCCAAATAATCATTAATTAATGGAAATTAATGGAATGGAAATTATTCATTATTTTACATTCTTTTGGTATCTGAAGGGATCAAATTAATTTAATTTGATTAAATATTTACTACATTATAGTCAAGAAATAGCCTGCAATTAACATAAAGCGTTTCTTTCGATTCATTACATATTAAGAGCCATCAGAAAGTGACTGGTGAGGCTGCTTTTGCAACATCATTTGAATTTACAGAAATTAAGTTTCGTTGTTCATTATAGTTCTGATAATATTATTAATCATTATGTCGTTATTATGTGATTTTTATGAAGAAAACCAGCAGTGAATGCAGTATTTTTTTTCCTTTAACGGCAAATGTTAAATAATTAAACAAACGACCCTTCAGTCCTGAGTAAAAGGCAAGACACGTTGGTTTTCCCGTACTTCCACCCTGATGTCAATCCGGGCCGGAAAATGGTGGAAAAGCGCTTTTCCTCTTTGGGAAAAGCGTAACAGGTGTGGGGCCTCGACTGAGCGAGAGCCGCCATTGGCCGGCGCGTTTCCATGGCGACCGGGCGCACCATCTTCCAACATGGCTGCTATCACGACCAGTCGGCCGCACTTGGGACTGGGGCTTGCCCGCACTAGTTGAGCCCAGCTTTTGAACGGTCATCTTTCCATTTGTGCTTTGCGGCTTTGTTAGAATTTTTAATTAAATATTACGAGGCGTACAGGCACGAAAACGAGGCCGCTTCCAGTTCAAAAGGTCAGTTAATTACTTATATAATACATAAATATGATGTACAACATGTACATGTACAATCACTTAGTTTATTTAATTGTCTTGTCGATCTGTTTTATTTTTATTTTTATACAAAGGTAATGTTTAATGAGTACTGATATATTCAACAACCCCATTACTAACAAAAACTACTAAAATCCCTAACAAAAATGAGTAAAACTACAGCTTAAATTAATTCCGCAACTCCCACGTGACTAACAAATATTTCCGGTATTGTATCAGAACTACATGATATAAAGCTATTTTTATTTTATTTTCACAAAATTTCGTTGATAAACAATGATTTTTTCCCTTAACTAAAAATATTAGCAATAGTATTAGATAAGAGAATAAAAACTCCTGGGGAAATTTTATAAACCGGATGTCACCAATAATTTTCCTAAACACGTTAGGTTTTACAAAGAAGTTTTAACATAGTTGGGTTTTTATCTGTAGATTTCTTTTGTTTTGCCAGTGTGTTGTTTTGACATTTCTATTCAATTCCGATGAATTAATCCTGTGTAGATGTAGTGCTTAAGCACACTTTAAGCACATGACCGTCTTTCAGTCAGGAGTAGTTTTACCAACTAAACCATACTGGGAAAAAGAATCCTTTCAAACTGAATTAGGAAGATATTGAAATTCAAATAGAATAGAATAGAATTTTTTTATAATATAATTTATAATAAAGCAAGCACATAATACTTACTTAAGCTGAACTTTTTGTCCGTCAGCTAAGATAAACTTAAATTAACTAAGAACCAACTAAACTTCTAAACCAGGTAAAATAATAAATCTTAGATCGCTTTGTGATTCTTTGTACTGCAAAGTTGTTTGTTAATTATCAGTTCTTTGGACGAATATATTTACTTTTTGGTGAAAATCTTTAGATAAAACGAAATTATCTGAAATTTTGAGAATTTTTTTTCCAGGTTCTAGTAGTTAGACTTTTTACTGCCTTTTGAACATATCTAGGTATGATAGACTCCTGATGTTTGTTCGTAAGTAAAAATACTATCCCATTCAACCCAACTCATAAAACAAAGTTTAATTGATTAATTTATATAAACTTAATAATTTATATACTTATAATATACTTAATATTAATATACTTAATAACTTATAATATTCAACTATTGCGCCTCTGGCACTACTATTCACTCTAATAAATGCATTCACTCTCAATACACACAAAGAAACACAAAGAACGAGATATTTACCAAGGACCGAAAGACATGATGCCGTCCTTATGCACAATTCTCATATCGCGTGGCTTTCCCACTCGCTCTTTTTATTTTTAAGCTTATGCTAATAAATGTTCACATCTTTTTTGTATATACTAGCACATGCGTATAAAATTATATAAAAGCGTACATTTTCCGGATGCAAATTTTATCCATAGAGGAATGTCTTGACATTAAGCACATACATTATAGGTAAAATAAAGGAAAATAGATTTTCGTTCCAACAACGGCGTTTTCCCTCTATTTTACCTATGATTCAGCCGCAAAAATACTTCTAACATGACAAAAATCGTGATTAAAGACATTTTGTTTTTGTACATATTTAGCCCATCGTGCATGATAATGAGTTATACCAGAATTAAATTAATTTTAATTTTTAAAACACTAGTTTTTGTTTGCATAAATCATCAATACGAGGTGTACCGGGCATTTGACAATGGGACACTAAATTCCACTGTAGTCATTCCTCGTGATGTCCTTTTGATCAGATAACATCACAGCAGAATGCTCCGGCCTCGGCAATTGTTATTTTATGCATCTGTTTTTCCCCGTGAATCGTGTTTCCGTTGCATTTTATGCACAATACTTTATGGAATACGAATTTATTTTTAAACGAACCATGAGCGCCCATGCTCGAATGGCCGTGGTATGCGAGGAATATTTCCAAGCGCAACGGCCTGGAATGTACATGTTCCTGCGGAGGAAGACAATCAGAATAACAATTTATTCAAACAAAAACTGGTTTTTGAACAATTAAAATTAATTTAACTTTTATTTTTTGCATTTCCTTTTGTGTGTATTGAGAGTGAATGTAATTCGAGCGAATAGTAGTGCCAGAGGCGCATTAGTTGAATATTAAGTTTATATAAATTAGTCAATTAAAACTAGTTTTATGAGTTGGTATGAATGGGATAGTATTTTTACTCACGAACAAACATACTCTGCATACCTAGATTTATTAAAGGCAGAAAAAAAGACTCACTGCTAGAACCTGAAAAAATTATCAAAATTTCAAATAATTTTGTTTGATCTTAAGATTTTCAACAACCAAACATTCGTCCAAAGAACTGATAATTAAGAAACAACTGGGTATTGCTCTTTGAAAAAACTTTGCACTAGTGCAAAGAATCAAAAAACGATCAAAGATTTATTCTTTTCCCTGGCTTAGATATTTAGATGATTTTCAGTCCAATTAATTTTACAAGTTTGAACAAATGAGCATACATTTTCGCGAAATAATACATGTACCAGAATCTCTGTGTATATGTAAGTTTGTTACAAAAACGACACTGATTTAATCATATTTTGAGTATACATTGATTTGGAACTTTTAAAATTAAGTAGTGAGGTTAATGAGAATTTATGGTTGAAAGTAGATTTCTTCAAGATTTCACCTAATAGGAGAAGTAGATGAAAAAATTTTAAGAAAGAAGAAGATCTGTAAATTTTAAAAATTAATAAAACTATAAGCTGAAATGTTTCTGATTTTTGCTGCTAAGGTTTTAAATTATTTTTTACCCACATTATCAGGTTTGAAACAGAACATGGCGTTATGCCGAAGAACTTTTGGCTGGGGACAACCGCAAGAATAGCCCAGCGTGATCAATAAGATCAAATAACTGGCAACTGTTCATAAACTCTCAGATCAACCGGCCTGCACATTCTAGGATGTATTCTAGGAAAGATTTCAATGAAGACATCAAATTTTTCCCCGGCAGTGTCGGTTTTCACGATTTTACCACTTGTTTAATTGCTATGAGCCTTCTCGGGCTAGTACTATTAAGTGAATATAAATGTTAATGTCTTTATAAAAGCCATTTCCCTTTCCATTCATAGTCAACTTCTAATCGAAACGATCGTCCTTAGAAATTCAGTGGGATTAAAAACAACTTATATTTGATATGGCAATTAAAGTTTATGTAAAACAACCGCATTTCATTTCAAAAATTTCAAATAGAACTTTCTTGGCGTTTAGTTGCTTATAATAAAGAATATGTACGTATCAAAATCGTCGAGAATGATGATACTTAAGGATGAAATATTCTTTATGTTTCTCTTCGTTTTTCCTCTTGGTATAACAGTAAACTTAAAATGAGTTTGGTTTCATTACGGTAAATGTCGCCTCTTGTATCTAGTTGTTCCCCCGAGGAATTTGAGAATGGGAATATTGAAGCCGGGATGATTCCTTGTTTCCCGGTTGGGAAGAAAGAACAACACCAAAGCGGCTATCTGGAGCAAAAATAGTAACGACAAAAACCTGTCCTACAAAGAGAGCGAAGCGATGAAGCGTGTGACGTGAGGTCAGGAAAAGAGGAGGAAATAGATCCTTTTATAATATAAAGGCGCGTTCTCACGATTTACCTTTTGTTGTACAACTATAGTTCCACATAGATGATCAACTAAAGTTTTTTTTTTCGGAAGGGTTTCCTGGGAGATTTTTCATTTCTTTTATGAGATATATGGTATCTAGATGGTTCAAGAACGGTATTCCCAGGTACCATAGCCCTTCCCTAGCTGTTTTTTTTTAATTTTTATTATAAAAATTAGCCATATGCAAATTATAGTTACACTATATGTCTAAGGCATTTATTACAGTAAATTTATATATGTTGGCAGGTTACATCATGTTGCCATACTGCTTATCAGCTGGGCATTCCAAACGTGATTAGAGTCCTCTTTAGCTCCTGTTTCACATCGATGGGAAAGGGCTGACTCCTTCATTCTAAGTCTGGTTAGGTGAGATCCTAAGCAATGATGGTTACATTCCCAGCAGTTGCATAGGATATGTTCTGTCTGTCGTCTGTGTCTCTACCGGGCATAGTCGACACTGGTCATTTTTTTAATAGTCCCAATTTTTAAGGTGGTATTTTACTGGAGCATGTCTTACCAGTTAGAGTTTTTAATTCTTTCTGTTAAGTATGATTTCCTTTTTCTCCTGTTGGTGGTAGTCTTCTTGCTTGCCTCGAACTTTGTTTTCGTTCCCAGTATTTATTGTGTTTTTTCAGTTGCCTAAGATTCCAGTTCTTTTTAAATGCGGCTATGGTTATGCCATAAAATGGATTTTAAAACAATATCCACATGAAAATGTCAAGTGGAGTTATCATCGAATAAATATTAACATGAAATTATCTAGATTGTTAGATTTAACATTGAATAAATAATTATTATTAAATAACATGTTTACAAGTTACAGACTAATTTAAGAAAAATGTTTTTCTTGGCTAGTCACTGTTCTTATCACTATTATCACGAGAGTCGAATAGACCTTTTCCAGTTTGTTTCAGACCATATAACTCTACTTTTTCAGATTGAATACAAGAGGATGGCACACAATGCTTACATTTGCAAAAATCAGATCTAATGTGGCCTGAGTTTGGATCTTTTCTAATTTAGAGTATTTCTCTTGTAAGAAGTCGACCTGACCTACACTTTTCACCACTTTGCCATTTACGAATTCAAAGTATTCCCCAATCTTGTTTGAACAATGCAGATGCCGTTTTGTTACTGTCGTTTTTCCATAACACTATATTGTGGGTGATTTAATCTAGTTTTTAAAAAAGGTTTCACCCCAATAACAACATCACTACCTACGCGGAAGATACAGCAATTATGTCCTCTAACTTGAATCCTATCCAACCTACTGCCAACATCCAAGAACACCTTGAACTTATCGAAGACCGGTTGAAAAAGTGGAAGACAAGGCTGAATGAAGAAAAATGTGCCCAGTGTACGTTCACATTG